ACGTCATTAACAGTATTAAAATTTCTTGTACTACTCAAACGAAAATGCATTACACTATAGCGGTAATAGTAAAAAACTTACGATATTGTTGAAAGTAACCCTTCCAGCTGACTCCCTTGGCTTCTAACAGATCCACCAAGTTGATTCCATCAATGTCATAAAGTTCATCATCTGTAATGCCAGCAGTATCACCATAAATACTTGCTATGTAGTTTGGCTGAAATGAATAGAGGCAGTCGTACCATTAAAGTTATTGAATTCGACTATACTGTAAATTATCGATATACATACCTGAGATGGATGTGCGACGCCGAAATAATTTGACATCAAAACGCTGTTGTTTTTTTCTACCAAACTCTTGAAATACGGGCTCGCTATTGCGTCCGTATAGTTTGTGTTTTCAAAAAACACCACAAAGATACGATCGAACCATTTGCCTGATACTAGTGCAGCATTCACCACACTAAGAGTAGCTGCAAGAATAATAATAATATACGCAAAAATAGCCATTTTTTATTATTAACGTTAACTAAAATAAATTAAAGCAGTCGTTGCGATTTCGAGGCAATATTTTCCTCATCTCCTCCTCGCGTGTTCTTTTATATTCTTTCAATACCAATGATTATCGTATGATATTGCTTATTTTTACACAATTGGTTGTTTGTTGTAGGTGTGTTACAAGGTTCTTGCATGTTTGTATCAGGTTTAATGTATGTTAAACTGCCGAACAACCTTATTGCGCAACTAACTATGGTGCTTTGTCCTCAAAATCAAATTATGTCAGTATTTGACCAGTGATTGGCGCATTTCTTGGAGAATGGTTACTTGTCGGAAATTTAAGAAACAATTTATAACGAGCCGAGGCCAATCATTCATATATGCATATACGGGTATACACATTATCCTTGACAAGATAAACCGCTAAGGCGTGGAGTAATAATGTAGTCGTAAATACATAGAAACGCTTTATTTATCGTTCCTAGAGTTGTAACACTGAATACTGTATTTTGTAAACCTTACGTTTCATTAACAGCAAATTTATCACACGTTATTTGATTCCTAATCCTATATTAGGTAAAGAGTTAGGCGTTAACGCCCTCTTTTCATCCAGCATTTTATTGGTGCATTTGAACGGGTAATTTTCTGTATTTTAATTTGTATTACGCTAAATCTGCATAATATAATTTGTCATTCTGCGTACATTATGTATTATGATGATCAAAATGTTTCGCTCAAAAGCAGACCGCTAATGCTAATTTATAATTTAAACAGACCTTTGGGCATTGTTTTATCCCTTCACTACCATACGTAGATAACAGAAAAGTATGTTTATATTCATCATAATTGACGAACTCTCTTGCTTTCTGAAAAAAGTTGTCTTATAACGGAAACTATTATAACTTTCGCTATGTAGTAATCCCATACGCCAAAGTATATATCAAGACAACATGAAGCTCGCATTGATTAGAAGTTTTTTTATATTTGCCGTGGTTGCGACTATTTTACATCTGGAAACCGTACAAGGTATATAGCCATAGTAATATGTAATTATACGTAAAAGAATAGAGCAGATAGCTTAGTTGAATGTGTTTACGTACTTACTACAATAATTAGTGCAATAATACATAACCGTTTATTCATATATTCTGACTTCTCCATGCCATTTACCAGCTGCAGCTAAAGCACCTAAGCCCTCTGCTTCAGCCAGACGGAAGTATCTGAAGATACGTTCACCAAGTACGTAGTTACTCGGCCAGAATAATTAATTTTACAACCTGTGTTCACATGTTTTAAATAGAATATTCTTTAATTCATTTTACGCTCGACTAATAATCTCTCACATCTTACAGCAGCCGTTCCCAGACTCCCTTCCGAACGTCGTTAGGTATGCGTTCTTGATACCACTAATACGAAATTACATAAAGCACTAATGTACGGTGTCTTAACTAAAATTTTATAATCAGTATCAAGTTCAAATTTGAAACGTATTACGAATACATCTGATTACCAGATTTTCATGATAAAAACCGCTATTTTCTGCTACCAAATTTTGCTAGCAATTATGCACTTATTGATGATTGTTAAATAGTGATGCAGCGATGTCGAAATAAAAGTTTATAGATGCTATAAATAAAAGTTGCGGTAATGTGCAGGCTAGCAAAAAAAAACATCCGATGTGGGGGGTGAGCGACAGTAAAATAAAACCCTAAATTACGCAGCTTAGCTAATAAAAACATACCACCTGGCCTCACTGAAACTCCTAAAATATAAATGCATTTTTTATTGAGAGATTTTTTTATTCGACATAAATCATAGTGGTATGGCGGTGACCACGCTACACCATTACACTGGCCGAACCAGAGCTTCATAGAATAGTACAAACACAAATGCAAATGCGATAAATATTATGGTATTTCTCGATAGTACAATCCAAACCAAGATTAAATAGCATTTGCATTCACTGAAATGTTTCGTAGAAGTCTTAGTCCATTATTTTTTTAACGCGATTGATTACTATTTTATGTTTCACAGCATAGATTTCTCAAGTTCGGAATATATCTTGCCAGTGATTATATTCAACAAAGAATATAATATTCTTCAGTGTTGACATTTTCTTTTAGATGCAGGGTTCCCTAATATTAAGGGGTATTTGTTACACCGGAGTAATTATAACAGTTACGAGGTAACCCATAACAAGAGTTGAAACATTCTCTCACTTGAAAATTTTTTCAAACCATGTCGTTAGTTCCAGGAGTCAGTGACATGCACAATCCAGCAATCGACAACTTGATTCAAGCCTCTTTGGAAAGTGACTATGAACTCAAATGGATTCCTCGTTCGCAATTTACTATTACTGATATAACGGCAACTTCAATGGACAACGTCTATTACGTCAAGAAAATGATGATAATGTTATTACACCTTGGAAGTAGCGAAGAATGCACACCAGCACTTGTGAGTGAGTTTGCTAGAATATACTCACTTCCAACACACAAGTACAA